TGTCACTTAATTAAAAGAATCCTAGAACAGATGAATGAGTGCTGGACTTGGAAACAGGAGACACGGGTTCAAATTCCTATCACAAACTACCTATTTTACTTGGGCACGAGGCTTGATCTCTCTCGGTCTCAGGTTCTCCACTTCTAAAATTGAGCAAAGAACACCTCCTGACCTCCTGAATCAGAAACCCTGGGGGTGTAGCCAAGCAGTATGTGTTTTAATAAGCCCTCTGGGTGACTGTGATGAATTCTCAAGTTTAAGAACCACTGGTATGCTATATATAATTCACAGTATCAATCACATACAAAATGAGTTCTTCTGGAGAATAATGTATTTTGCGTGGCTCCAATTTTGATAATCAAAACAGCCAACTGTCTAAATGAAAACTACCCTAGTCTACTCCTAAGTTTTGGTGTCAGTCATAAAAACTTAAGCAAATTGTGTGATCACTTTGAATCTCAGTTTCCTCACATGTGAAATGACAGGATAAGCTAGAAGTGGATCAGCAAACTTCACACCACAGGCCAAATCCAGCCTGGTCCACTGTCTGTTTCTGTACAATCTGCAAGTTAAGAATGTTTTTTACATTTTTAAATGATTGAAAAAAAAATCAAAAGAAAAACAGTATTTTGTGATGTGAACATTCTCTGACATTCAACTTCCAGTGCCCCTAAATAAACTTTCATTGAAACACAGCCATGCTCATCCACTGGCGTATTGTCTATGGCTGCTTTTGCACAGTAACAGCAGAGTTGGGGAGCTGCAACACAGACCATATGGCCACAGAGCCTAAAATATTTATTACTTGACCCTTTAGAAAACAAAGTTTGCCAGCCCCTGAACTAGAAGATGACTAAGTTCTCTTTGAACTCCAAACTTCTACAATTTACAGAATTTTACTATGTTCCTATCCTCGAATACCGCCAGCTATCTAGTCATAACGGTACACCTAGGTTGCCCAAGTCGAAGTTTTGGAAACCCAATTACCCTAATTACTACTGCTCTAGGTAATTAATTTGGTGAATAAGCCATATTAAAGTTGTACACTTTGTTCCAATGCTTAAAAACTGCTGCCACATTTTATGAAATTCCATCTCATTAACGTGGCCACACAGATCAGCTAGAATAAGCCATGTGCTCGGAAATCTGGAACACATTCTAGCCAGTTATCCTCACTTAGAAAATTAAGGCAGTTTCACTAGCTGGTGTGCTGTTTAAATATCCTTTGCCCAAATCTACCCTTTTCAATAATGATTTCAATGGAGGAATTCATTCTAAGGGTCCTGCAATTCTGGGGAGAGTTTACATTTCCAATAAAGACAATTTACATTCCTGTACTGCCCCTTTAATTTTTCATTCTCTCAAATTTCCAATGAGCCTTGGCTGCCTGGGGAGTACAGCAGGGGTCGGTGGCTTAGGGCAGCAATGGGGAAAAGACCCCTGCTCTTCTCTTCAAAAGGGTCAGGTCCTGTTAGACATGTTAGAGGCAACTTAGAGGTCATTCAGTCCTGCCCATTATGGTGAATCTGGGCCCCAGAGAGTACAAGTGATCTGTCCAAGGTCCCACAGACTGTCTAGAGTAAATCTAGGACTGAAACCCATGTCTCTTGACTCCAGATCTAGTGCTCTGCAGCATTTCAAAATCCTTTTTTTAAAAGGCCCTCACTTCTATTAAGGACCTTGAGAAAGGTGACACACTGGGCAACGTACTGGGAAATGGCTGACCCACTTCCCCAAAAAGGCTGGGGAAAAGGGAGGCAATCCTTAGCTCAGTGCTTTTCTACCTAGCTCCGTGAAGAGCACCAGTGTGGGTTTTATTATTGTTCTTTTTTAACTTCCACTCTGTTGCAGACTGATAGTTTTGTGAAGTACTATAAAAATGCTGTTGCACTGCCTAACTGCTATAAAAGTTTCTAAGCACTTTCAATCTCTGTTCTTACCTTGTCACCAAACAGTTTGAGGACTCCTTGGTCTGGGAACCACAGACTGGCGTTGGCATGAAGGGTGCAGGAACCAGAGGCCAGAAGCTCCAAAACCAGCTTGGAAAACTCTCTGGAGGCGGCTCAGGAGCCACAGGACTCTGGGCGAGCCTGAGGTAAGGGAGGGCCCCGGCGGTGGCACCCTGGAGTCCCTGACAAGGTCCCTGGCTCTCTGCTGGACCAGCAACTGCTTAAAACACAGCTGACTCTGGAAACGAGGCACAGTTTCCCCTCAGGTCATTTAGGAACATCTGCTGCATAGCTACCTTGCAGTCTTAAAAGAGCATGTGCTATCTGACCTGACTGAGCTTGTAATTCCCTTGGAGGGCTGGGCATGAATAAAGGATCCGCACCACGAAACAGTGGGGACAGGAGCTGACATGGCAAGAATCTCAGACTCTGAAGGACGTAGGAAGACCATTTGCCTTAAGCCTCAGATACCCTTAACCAGTTCTTTGTAAAACAAGAGCAGAGTCATGGTGAGCACAGCCCCAGTGTGCAAAGAAAAACAGGACAGAGGAATGAAAACTGTTGAAAATCATAATCTTTGCAGAGTAGAATCCAGGCCACTTAGAAGTTCTAGGAGAAAAACCCACATCACCTCTCCTGCCACACCCGGCCTAAACCTAAGCCTGAGTACTCTCTTTTCAAAAATTAGTTATTTGGAAATAATTTCATACTTATAAAAAGTTGCACAGTGTGGCGTTTTCAGGAAGAGTCTGTTGTCAGGCAGTCCTCTGGGTGCCCCCAGAGGCTAAAGCCCTCCTCGAGGGGTCCTGGAGTGTGTCAGGTTCCACACTGTAGTGAGGTTCCCTCTAGTTTCTTCATGTTAGACCAGCCCCATCCTTGAGGTAGTCATACTGGTCACAGAGGTGTGACGAAGTGACAGTGAGCCCACGGCAGCTAAGGAACCAGACTGTCACCACGGCGCACTTACTGGCACACATTTAATTAGCTTTTAATAAAAGTAATTTGATAACTACTCCTGGTCATCCGCTATAGAACTGTCAATGCTGAAAGCTTTTTTATTTAGCTTCTCTTCCATCTATACTGAGGCAGCCTCCCTGCTGACCCTTGTCAAAGAACCCCATCTGCTGGTTGCCAGGGTAACTGAAGGCAACCAATTGAGCTGAACAGAGTGACTCGAATAAAATCTGCAGCCAAAGGAATTCTGCTAAGAGTAATAAATCATTTAGTAAAAGGGGATCCTCCACACAGTGATGAGTGTTGGGATAATATGAATGCATAACTCTTCCAGCGAGAAGGTCCATGGCAGATCAGAGTGGTTAGGCCTGCCAGAGGGTTCATTTGGAAGCTAGTGGGCTCAAACAGCAGAGAAGTCCGATCCTGCCCATTTACATGCCACCATGGGGGAGAAGGAAGCAGCTAAATCGGTTGTTTAATGTTTGGGCTGCGAAATTCTGAGTTTTAAGAAGTGGCAAGAGAACCAGTCCAGGCTTCCAACACTCCTTACTCTATTTTTCTAAAGTACTACAAGTAAACAAAACGCCCCATGTAGCCCAGGAAACTACTGTGGCCTTGAGGAAGGTGGCAAAGAGAACAAACACTGAGATTGCTTTGGAATAAAAATGTCTAGCACCATCTCTTTGTCATCAATCAACTTTTAGGTGCTCCAAGCAGAAGTCATCTAGGTGCACAAAATATGCAGTCCTTGAGATAGCAAGGGAGACAGGATTCAACTCGGAGGGTTGGGAGTATCACCATGGAAAGGTCTCAGAGAGGGTCAGGGCTCTGAATAAGAAAGGCAGAAGAGAGCTTCCCTGGTGGCACAGTGGTTGAGAGTCCGCCTGCGGATGCAGGGGACGCGGGTTCGTGCCCCGGTCCAGGAAGATCCCACATGCCGCAGACGCGGCTGGGCCTGTGAGCCATGGCCACTGAGCCTGCGCGTCCGGAGGCTGTGCTCCGCAACGGGAGAGACCACAACAGTGAGAGGCCCGCGTACCGCAAAAAAAAGAAAGAAAGAAAGAAAAAAGAAAGACAGAAGAGAAAGGGAAAACGAGGCCTCCGGGGGGCTGCTCTGGGTGACAAGAGGCAGCACGTTGCAGGCCCCTGGCAGTGGGCTCAGTGTCGTACCTGAGTCCCTCGCAGCACAGGACTCGGTTCCAGTCCTGACCCCCATTCCTGGTGAGCACCCGCTGTGTAGACTAGGAATCCCTACAGTCAGTAGTGCCCAGATTTTAAAAAGAAAAAACTCCAGACGTGCTAAATCATCCATCCAGCATTTAATCTGTATATGGCCGTTCCTTAGTGGTTGTGATGGGAGAGGCAAGGTTAAGGGCAGTAGAAACAACTGCCCCGATAGCCAATTACCATAGGGGATGAGGCAGCAGGGGTGTGTGCTGGGGGATGAGGGGTGGTGGTCAGGGCAGCCTTACCCTGCAGTGCCGCTCGTCTCAGGTTGCACCCCACCCTTTTAAGAGGTGTACAGGCAGGATGCTGACATCTTCCCAACCCCTGACCCACAGAGCCATGGGAGGACCCTGTATCCTAAGTCACCCCCAGAGATAATTTCCTTCTTTAGAAAAGAGCAACTGCCAAGCAGAAGGTAGGTTTCCCCCCACCCCATCCTAGATGCCACCAGTGAAAGGATTCATCTTAAGAGTTTTAGTGAGATTCCGTAGACGGAGGCGTCAGGAGCGTCTGTGCCTTTTCCGGGGCCCCGCTTGTCCAAAGAGCCCACCAAGCAAAGCACTCCCGGGCCACTGCGCGTCCGGGAGCCGCCAGCCCGGCCCCCACCCAGCGCGGGGCTATTGTGCCTCTGCGGGTTGAAGCGTCGGCGGGGCTCCACGTGCGCCTCTAGCGCCCACACCTGCGCTCGGCCCCCTCCGGGCGCCCGCGGCTGGCAGGGCGGCCTCGCGCTCCAGCTCCCGCCGCCGCCGCCGCCGCCGCGGGCCCCGCCCGGCCCCGCGTGCCGTCCTCCTCGTGGCTCGGCCCGGCCCCGGGATGGTGGGGGCCGCAGGCTCCGGCGGGCGGGCCGCGGGCGGGGCGGGGGGGGGGGCTGGTGCCCGGCATCTGGCTCCGGAGGCTCCGCGGGGGCTCGCAGGGCCTCTGGACTGCGGCAGAAGGAGAGGATTAAGCTGAGATGGCAGTTGAAGGAAGGAGATGGATGAAAGCTTCATTAACTCCAAGCTCACGTCCCAATTTCTTTCCCCTGAGAAGCAGTGTGAAAAAAGTTTGGTTTCCTTGTGATGGGAAAGTGCTGCGTGATTGTGTTTGCTTTTCTTACCTTTTAATTCCTTATTTGTGAACAACAACAAAAAATTAAGCATTGTTTGTTGATCATGGAGGACTCCAATTTTAATTAAGCAGGAAAAAAATCTTGCTAACAGAGAGGCTGAAGAAATATTGCAACCCGTTTTAATATCTATGTTAGTGATTAAGCTTCTCACGTGACTTAATTGAAACTGGCGAATATCTTAAGAACTCAAAGAAATGAAAATTAAAAGGGTGCTGGGTATGACATGTCTTTATTTTCCCCCTCCAATCTCGTCCAACAACTAAACTGACTTTTATGATCAATCCTAAAATGTGCCATAGAAAACAGACTTCCTGATTCCATAAAAATATCTTGAGTACTGCTTTATGACACAGTTGTTCATGCTTGAATTCCCTCTCCCTTCTTACAAAGTTACCATTAGTTACACTTCTAAACCCTACTTCCAATTCTTTGTCTCTGCTCACTCTCCGGAATTCTCCTCCATATTTCAATTCCCAGACACTCTTGAACTTTGCACATGCTGCCAGTTTCAGCTTGCGCAGAATAATCAGTATATTAATTCCACTCGGAGACAGTGAGATTTTTCTAACACAATCTGCCCAACCTGAACTCTTTCCTTCAGAAACACTTTGCCTTTAAAAAGAAACTCCCAGCATGAACCTCATATGAAGCGACATGTAACAGACAGTGCATGTGGCGCTGGGCGAGCAGCTCAGAATTAAAAGAGAATTTTTCACTTTGTTTCTTTGGTGCCATGTGCATAATGTACATGTGGACAAAACTGACATCAGACATTTAAAGCAAAAAAAGAGTGGGGGGAGGGGGGATGTGATGGTGGAGGGAAAGAAAGAAAATATGTTGATAAAAACAGTAACTTCTGTTAATCTACATTTTTCAGTTACTGTCTTAATTAAGAATGTTAGGAAATATGTTGCAGTTTAATTGCATTGTTTCAAGAAATTCTAATGCTGACAAATTTGGGACCATGTACACTTGGATGGTAAAAGGGATTGAAGTGGTAATTTCTTCCAACTGGTAGATAATCAAAATTATGCTTTCCACAGACAATCCCCCTGCCCTTGATCCTAAATTCAGACGACAAAGTAAGAATAGCCTAACACTTAGCATGTTCAGTATGAAATGAGCTCTGAAAAAGAAAGAAAGAAAGAAAGAAAGAAAGAAAGAAAGAAAGAAAGAAAGAAAGAAAGAAAAAAGAAAGAAAGGAACGTGTTTTTAACCTATGTGTATGAGATAGGAATAATTTTTCAATATAAATACAAAGAATTCACAAAAAATGAAAGAGCACTTTATCTGAAATTTCTGGGTAACATTATTATCCTTGTAGAAAATAGTTATTTAGAAAAAAGTCGGTACCAATCTTCAAATTATTCTCTGATGACCTTAAGACAGTAAAAATCATTTGCCTCAGCCACAAGTACATAAACATAATGACAGTCTGAAGACACATTCAGATGTCAGAACACTGTGTCCTTTTCTCCTTCTGCAGCATAGACGCTCTAGGCTTCATTTCTCTTTGGAGGGAAGACTGCATCATCACAAAGCAAAATAAATTAAAATGTATTTTCCTTGCTCAGAGTACCTTTGATAGAAGTTATAGTAGACAGGGTAGCCTCCCACTTGCTACAGCTTACCACAGCCAACTCATTTTTAACCTGGATGTTGCATTTCTTACTTGATCCCATTGTCTGGGACCTGGGTAGCTGGGCTCACTGCCTCTGAGAAGGGAGGTGGCCACTCACACAGCACAAACCAGGCGCTGACCAACGACCCCCACTGACCTGACTACTTCAATCAAACTGGTTTGATGATTTGGTCAGTTCTTTGACTGGCTCAACTATTCATTTCACTGTCCATTAACCACGGTTTATGATACACCTAGAGCCTCAGAGTTAGTTATCTATCCAACTGAGGAGGTGGGCCTAACTTTTCTAGCAGCTAAAGATACAGCATTACACGTGCAATGGCCCTGAAATTAGAATAAAATAAGATCTGTTTGCCCGAAAACGTAGCTGAAATGTCCAAAAAGCTTGGTTAAGAGAACAAACTCGAAAGACCTGCTCTCACTAGGAGGTCTTGTGGCTTTTTCTGCCTCAGCCTCCCAGAACAAGAATGGCCAGAGGACTTGACCACAGCTGAAATCCTGCCAATGTGCTGCCATCATCAGTGTCTCAATTCTTAAACTTTTATTTATGTTTGTATTAGAGAACAGAATCCTAAAGGTCTCAAATTGCTGGATAAATGGCATGCGTGACCTCGGATTCCAGAGAGTTCACCAGTATGGAATTAGTACAAATTTTTTTCATGTCTCACAGGAGGTCCAAAATAGTGAAGGGACACATCTCTTGTGTGCTCAACACCTGGGACCACATAAAACTCCCAGCTGACTGACCAAGAAATGAAAGATTTTCCATCTTTTGGGGTTTCTGTAAATTCTGATGGTAGAGGACATTCCGCCCGCCCCTCCCCACAGTAGCTGGGCAACCTCCCCAGAAAACCCTTTGTCAGGCAGCGCTGGAGGCTGGTGTGCAGAGCCTGGACCCCTGCGGAGGGTGGCAGGAGGGGACACTGTGCTGAGCAGGACCGGAGCATCGTTAATCACCAGATCAGACAATGAGAGGAGAGTTCAAGTGGACACAGAGGCAGGGAGAACTCACGAGTGTAATTATAAGTTGAAAAGTTCTGAGTCAGTTCTCAGAGTTTAGAGAACATTAAAAGAAGAACACACAATACTGGGGGAAAAATAGGGAAGCAGTACACGCCCGAGGGCCAATTGCCTCTCCAGCAGCGGCAAGGCTGTTCCTGGGCTCGCAGGACCATTTGTTCCATTACACAATCTCCTGAAGCCATTTAGAGAGAGCTCAAACAACTGCCTGTACCAACACGACACATGGCTTCCCATCCCGACTCTTTGCTAATCCAGACGCTCTAACCATCTTTCTTTAAGATGCCATATGGTTGGCAGAAGCCTGTAGATCTAGCAGCACATCTGCTTGTGCGTTTCTTCTTCCCTCCATCCCCCCAACAAAAGAAGGATAGAGAGACAGACCAAGAGGAGGGCATGCGTGTGTACCTCTGCCTATATTGTTATTTCTTTTTACAGATTCTAACTAAATAAAACTATTACGGGGATGACTGGAATTATTCAGGGCTGGATCATTTTTTTACTAGACAACATGGCAGATTTATTTGCTTGTCAACGATTTAAATCAAGATTAGAAAAACAAAGGATGGATGATCTCCTTTCTCCAAAGGAAAACCGGTTCAAAGCTCTCCCTCTGGGAATCCTTGAAATGCTTTCTTGCCGAAGGAGAGGGACAGCACCCTTGCCTGAAGCGATTTCTCCTCTTCTTTTCGAGGAAGACAGACAAGCTGAGAAACTAGCAGATACCCAGAGCCTGCTTTGTTAGCAAGCACACGCGGCTGTATGCTAATGCATCGGCACCGACACGCTGCTTTTTTGGTGTGATGAGCAAAGATTGTTGACACTGTTGAAATCCTGGCTCTCCTGGCCTGTGAGCACACGGGCTGCCTCCTTGGAATCTGGCCCCCAGTAAGACAGGCTGCAAAAAAATAATACATTTTCTACTCTCCTGATGACTGAAATCTGGCCATTTGCAACTTAGAGCAGTTGGGCAGGGGGAGGGGACATTAGAAAAACATTCTAAGATATTCTATCAAGCTAGGAATCAAAAAGACACAGGTGAAAATTGTGGGTTTCTTTTAAACTAAAAGTTAAACCTGGTAGACATGTGTAAGTGATCAAGGCCAGGATGCTGGCTTCAGGAGCAAACCCTGAAAAGTGAGGGTGAGGGGCCATTATTGTAGCCTCTGCTGCACCGGGTAGCTGGGACGTTCCCACCACACCGGGCAGAGGGCAGTCTGCAGATGAGACAGCCCCACTAATGGCACCATCTCAGTTACAGGAGAAAAGCTAAGCTTCAGATCTTCTTGTAAATTTTTCTGAACCATATGTTGGTTGACCATGCATGGTTTACCAAGTCTGTAGAAATATATGGCAGCAAAAAAGCAAAGCAGATATTCCGTTGTTGCAAAAGTACTTTTTTTAAGTCAAAGAAGAGTAGGGGAAACCACATCTTCTGATTGCTGAGCATGAAATATCCCTTTACCCGCCTAAAAACTCTAAGAGATAGGTATTATTATTGCAATTTAACAGATAAGGAGACTGAGGCTTAGAAAGGATTACAAAAAAGAAACAAAAGATCCCAGAACTTTGGCAAAGTTATGCAGCTAGGAACTGCCAAACTCAAAAGGCCGTGCCTACCTCACTTACAGTCCAGGAGGCCCCAGGTGTGCAGCTACACTTATACACACAAGCATTACCTAGTGGATATGCCCAGGGTCAAGTATGCAAGTCTAAGCAGGTCACTATTACCTGGTGAGCAATACACCAGTTATAATTAGTATTCAGGCAGGGGCATCAAATAGTAGATTCCATTTACTTGTACTTTTAACGTGAATACAGGTTCATGTAACTGAAATGTATAAACATGAGACGTGACTAAAAAAAACATTGAACATTATAATAAAAATATCAGAATTTATCCATTCAAAAAGTATGCCCTTTAAACAATTCACCTTGGGGCCAACACATGCATTTCAACCACACTGCCATCACCTAGGACTTGCTGACATGTTCCTTCATAGCCTAGGGCTTAGTGGATACACATGTAGGTTTGTGATTGAGTGTATATTAAGTGCATTTCATCAAAATCATATGTTTTAATAAAATACCTGCAGTCTATGCTATACTAATCTATGATGAATCAACAGCTCAGAGCAGATATGAGCCTGATTCTATTATCAACAGGAACAACAAACTATCATTAACAATTCTGTTATTATCACTGAGATGTGGCTATGTAGAATGATGAGTTTAAATTTTAAAAAAAAGATGTATGTTGAAATCTGAGCATGATCCAAGGCAAATGCTTCTAAGCCTATTTCATTTCTAATGTAAAATGATACTACCTACCTCACAGGATTGTTGTGAGAATTAGAGATAACATGTAAAGTGCCCGGCACTTTGTAGATTCTCAATAAATGAAAATACAATCATTATTGTTACTATTTTCAATAGAGGGCTTCGGAGCATATAGAAAGTGCTTTCACATACATTAGCTCATTCAACTCTGAAAACAGCCCTGGAATGTAAGAAGTTTTTCTTCTATCTAATGAATTAGATAGTTGAGATTCAAAAATAAAATAACTAAAGCAATAAATAACAAGAGCTATTATTATTATTAATTATTTACTGAGCCCTTTCTACATGCAGTTACTGTGATAAGTGCTTTTCTAGCCATTTCCAATTGTAATAGCAACACTTTGAAGAACGTATTACTGGTACTCTTATAATTCTCATTTTGTAGACAAGAAACTGAGGCTAAGAGATGCTGCCAATATCTCGCCTAAATGCACATAGTTAGTAAGTGGCAGAGCTGGAAAACAATCCCAGGTCTGTCTTCTAAACCCACAATACTAACAATAGCTGTAAAATATTGAAGACAGGACTAAAAGCCAGATTTCTCTGTTTAAAATCCAGGGCCCTTTTGTCTGTACCACATTGTCCTTTGGGACTTATCTAAAGCTACTGTACATGTGACAATGAAATTTCCTAGCATAAAAATCCTTGTCCTTAGCAAATTTCTATGTATGCTAACAAATTCTATAGGGCTTATGGTTCAAATGTCATAAACAATGCACACTCACACAGAGCCTGAATGCTGGGTGCTCCCCTACAGCACAGTGAAACATTAAAGCAGGGCTCTTTTATAAGATGGCAGGACATGACATATGCATGTGAATGCATCACACACATAAACACACACCAACAAAGCTGTCATTATATATTTGGAAACTAATATCATTGAAACTGTCAGAAACTTTTTTTATCAAGATAATAGTCCTTCAATAAAAATTAACTGTCAGTAGAAGGCTTCCAAATCAAAATTATATGCTAGGGGTACTAGAACATTCAGAGGTTGCTGACCATATGCTGACATGAAGAAATGGGAGCTGGTGCAACTAAAATCTGGATTTATGGCTCACGTATGTGCTTTACCAGACAACCCTCTCCAAATAAGGCCACGGAGCTGCTCTTGTGAACTCTCTCCTTGTTTCTGGTGCAGTGGGACAAGGGGGCAGTCATCTCAGGTAGGCTCTTCTTGACCTCTCTGCTGTCTCCCTCCCTGTGTCCCCTTTATCTGATCGGACCTGGACTGATTTCTGTAAGTCAAGTTTCCCCATTGGTTCTCTCCTCTATTACCAGAGCTTCCAGGCTCCTAATTTCATTGCTGACTTCAACCCAGTTCAAAGTGGAACAGGATTTCAAACAAACAAACAAAATAAACAAGCAGGAGCCTTTGCTATCACTTCAGTGCTTCCAAATTCATAAATCTTTGATCACATTTTCAGTCAATATGGAGGGAGGGTCCCAGCACATGGATTGTGAATGGAAATGTGTTACTTGGAATTTAGTGCTCCGTAAGTGCAAGGTGCCCCACGGGTTTCAGACTTAAAGGATATAAATCTCGAAGGCTTCTCAAGAGTACTCTGGAATGCATCATTATGAGGCAGCACTCATATCTACCAAGAATGGAGACCTACATATTAACTGTCCCACGAGAGTGAGACTAGGTGCCCCAGAGGCAGACATTTTAAATGATATGTCTTTCACTAATTTCATAGGCTGCAGTAGTCCTGTGTGGTAGCATGAGAACAAAAATACTATTTTATTCTAACTTTGCTAAAGGTATGGGTAGGATGGACTTCCCCTATCATAAGTGAGTGTGACTTCCTGAGCAAGCTTATCCACTCTGAATAGGACCTATATAACTTACACCTCCTGGAGTACAACACAAGCTCTGATTTCCTATTACACCTTGTTCTGTGTGCTGGGCACTTTAGCAACTCACATAGCTCGTGTTTGCTGAGCAATTTACTATGTGTCAGGTACTGTTCTGAACATTTCTGTGTGCTAACTTGTTCAATTCTCTTAACCAATTCTCATGATTTAATAGGCTCATATTAAGTACCTTGCCCCAAATCACACAGCACAGAAGCTAAGCCATCTGGGTTCAGGATGCACAGTCTTAACTACCCTTCCCTACAATGACTCTCAGAGACATTATGTAGGAAAGGATATGATGCCTACCTAGCCTACCAGCCATGGGAATTTGGTGTCATTTAGCCTCTTTGACCCTGAGTTTCTTCAAAGCAAAACATAATTTAAACAACAATTGTCACACCTATCTATGTCAAAGGGTGGATATATGTATATTATATTCTCTCACATGTTTACTGCTTTCTTTTTCCCACGTGCAGAAGTCTTTTCTAGGCCCAAGTCGGTTGTGACCTCCTTGAGGGGAGAGGCCAGTATCTAGTATATTTTGGTAACTACCATGGCCAGAGCTCATAGTTAGTCATCACCATCTTCATCATAGCCTTATAAGTTGTTGCCACTGTGGGTGCTAATTGGGGTCTCCAAAATGAAAAACCAAGGAACCTTTGCTTTGCTAGTTAAAGACAGGGACAAAGCTTGTTCATACTGCATTTGGTGTTTAAATGCCTTTTCCAAAACAGTCTCAGATGAATTGAAAGGGCGGTGAAATTAGCCAGCTCCACTAAGACACAAAGCAATTGTCTGACCTGGACTAATGTAGAGCAAAACGAGTGGTATCTTCCCTTCTGGAAGCCCCTGAGGTCAGGTTTGTCACCTGCCCATGTTACACAGGGATATTAAAAACAATACCACAACAACTGACTGGACACAGCTAATGTGATGAAAAGGGTGATGAGATTATATACATAAAAAGAAACACTGCCTTTCTAGAGACAGAGAAAATTGTTAATACAAATGAACAGATGCTTGGGAAGAAAATATTATTTCCAAAACCCAGACAAAGCTCTATTTATTACATTTCAGAGACACTTAAATTATAGTGTCTGAAAGCTATCCTATCAAGGGTATCTGTGACACCTAAATTATCTAAAAATCTGAAAGGTTAAGCCGAAATAAAGACTTTACTGTGAGAAAGACTTAGGGAGAAAAAGTTCTTTTTTTTCTCAAAGGATCAGGTGATTAAATCTACTGTGTAGCATAACCTAATGAGTACTAAGTTCCAGCACTAAACTTTATGGAAATCCAACAGAATATTAAATTCAAAATTCATTCAGAGATGTTAATATGTGCTATTTTAAAATCTAAATGCAAATTTCACTATTCCTATGGTCTGTTGATATTCTTGTTGTTCACATTGGTTCTTTGGGCACTCCGCTGCCCCAAGCTCCAGGCCTGCCCCAGGCGCTCCACAGAAGTCCTGGGGTGTTCTCTGTGCCTCTGTGCTGGGCCAGGCCTAGAATGGAGGTGCTGGGCGTGGCAGCCACTGAGCAGGCTTGGGCTCGGATTTGTTACCATCAACCCTGACCCTCCCAGAAGAAACCAGGCTCACCACTGCCTCTCCCACTGACTAGCATGCTTCTGGCTGCCTCTAGGCATTTCCAGAAAATGGACTGTCACACACTAGGTTAAGGAGAAAAAAAG